CAGGTCCTTGTTGTTTAAGTGGACATTTCTCGGTGGACACTTCGAATTCCTTCCAGGCAGGAATCTGGTCTTCAACTTGTTTAGTCCGCCCTCTTCCCACACCCTCCTTATCCCTTTAGGAACAAAAATACGTTTTGCGCTTAACTTTAAACCTGCCACACTGTCTCTGACTTTTCTGTCTCTGACTGTCTTTCTCGGAAAACTGAAGTACTCAAATCATCAACTATTACGTACTGTACCTGGCTCATGGGAGTTGCTCAGTAAATACTTGTAGAATGCACGTCCCCCCAACCATGCTCCTCAGTTCTTACCATTAAATGATCCTTTATTTAATGGAACTCATCGACACTGTAGGAAAAATGAACAACCAAAATTAAAGCATTTATCTAGGGGTTAGATCGCACACCACAATTGTTTAAAAGTACAACGTTTCTATTGAATAGAGAATATATTGTAGTAACACTTAACTCTGCTAAGAATACCCTTCCTGTCATCTACACTGAGACATAGCAGGCACTTCGTGAACATTAGCTGAATAAATAAGTAAAATTATGGGAAGGAAATTTGAAAGGTTTTTCAACCTCCTCCTCCTCCCCTTAAATCTTTTTCAAAATATATAGTCCACCATAGTCTCCATTCTTCTTTATCAATTGGGAGAAATATATTTGAAAGCGTTCTCAGAGAAAAATGGTAATTCATTTTTGCAATAAAATAAATGCAGTTATTAACTGAGAAAGAGTGAATGAACATCAACAACCTGTTTTCTGGGATAGGTTGCTCATGTGTTTGGTAAAGAAAAGAAGAAATAGAGGACAATACCGCCACCAAATCCTACCACTTACCCTGATACGCCAACTGTTTTTTACCTATAAATGTTTCTTGGTTAAAGTGGCTCAGGGTCATGGTTTTGGAGGATGAAGCATCAGAGGCAAACAAACAAAATTCAGAGGCATAATTGGATGCTGGATCAGCAATGAAACATACATGACAGATGGTATAGTATTGCTATCTTATAATTACAATATTTATTAATAATACATAGCTGTTTGCCTCTTGAAATGTTCTCTGCCTTTTGAAATGTTCTCCATTCTTTCTATACTAGAATACAACCTCTGCTCTGCAGCCTTCCTGTTCTTCTCACTGAAAATTAGTTGCCCTATTTATCACTGTACGGTACACAGAATCTTATTCTTGTGCCACCTGTGATTGTCTTGCAGTCTTTTGTTTTATACTAATACTAGTGTTTATTTATACTAATTAGATTATGAACGTCTACAGTGTTGTCTTACCTGAGTCTGTGTCCCTAACAGAAAGTGCCCCTACTAAGTATTTTCTGGAGGGATGTTGAGGGACTGACCAGTGGGCCCAGGAGTGAAAATCCTTCCAGGATGAATTTTTCTTTTGTTACCATAAGCTCTGTTCAACATGTTGAAACTAGTGAAACCAACAGCAATGGCCAGAAAAAAGCCACATGCCTAAAGCAAAGCTGGTTCCAGATACCCTGTGCCCGGATGTGAAGGGGCTGATCATGCAGGCAGATGTTCCCTGTGAGTGATGGGGGTGGGAGCCCAGCCTGGAGGAGAGTGCAGGGGACAGGTGCTCCTCCACTCCGCCGTGCTTCAGTGCCAGCCTGTTTAGGAGAGCCCAGCATCGTCCACCAGACCTGTTACATTTTTATTCATTCCACAAGTATTTATTGAGTACCTCCATTGTGCCAGACATTGTTCTCAGAACAGGGGTTATATTAGTGAACTTTAAATCCACTTTCAGACTCTTCTTCAACCCTGGCTAAATGCCTGGGAGAGGGGAAAAGATAATGGAAGCAGGCAGGGTGGCCCAAAGGCCGGCAAGCTCCCGGTCACTGAGGCTGTCTTTGACCCTGACTGCCGGAGCACTTAGAAAGAACCGCAGAGAGCCCGACGGCCGTAGGGAGTACAAACGCTCCAGATTCCAGTGTGGACAAAACTCACCAAGCAGGTTATTAATCTTGATTCCATGATGGTTGTAACTGAGAAACAAGGAATCAATTCAGACCACACGCTGGAAATGAATGCGTACGACATGGCAAACATCTGAGAATTCTGTGTCGTCATGAGGAGAGGGAATTGAGTAAGACTGACATAAAAAAATAAAAACTCAAGTGAGCCTATGGATATGATATCATACTCATTTTATGTCTAGATTAAGGTATTAAGCTTCCAGCCCCAATTTGTTTATGTTATGTTAAGCTCTAAGACATTTAATGACATAAACCTCTATGCTTGAGTCACCCTGTACCACGACCCTAACCCATGTTCTAACGTGTAAGGAAGCTCTCTGGATAATTGATGTTTGGTGCTGAATTATGCCATTAGCCTGAAAAATTAAATTATTGATACTGTTGTGAATAAAGAGATGATAATGCTGATGGTAAGGTTAAGAGGCCCTCCATGGTATTCTCTGTGCTAGGCACTGTCTTAATTATTCTTTGTATTTAGTAACATTTAGTCCTCACAACAACCCTATGAGGTACTATTGTCATCCCCATTTTACAAGTTAGAAACTGAGGCTCAGAACAAAAGAAGTTCAATAAAGAGTTTCTATTGGATTTAATGAAAATTGATGTTAAGATGAAGATAATCGATCATACTTCTCTTAGAAAAAGATGGTGGGAATCACTCCCCTTATTCTTCTGCTGCCTCTCTGGCCATTTTGCTGTTCCTCTGATACCCACAAGGGCCCTCTTGCCTCTGTTGACCCCTCTGCCTGCAATGGACTCCCTGCCCCTGGATCTATGTGACTTGCTCTTTGCTCCCTTACAAGCTTCCTTCAAATGTTCCATATCATTGACATGTCCCCTGACCACTCTACAGAAAACAGCATCCCCCACTTTTTTTACTTCCTACCCTCTTTACCCTGCTGTGAATGCCATAGCACTTATCCTTCTGCTGACTTGGTGAAGTTATTAGTTTACCAGTGTGTTTCTCACTTCCTCTGGCCAGTATGGAAGTCTTAAGCGCCATGATGGTAGGGACTCTCCCTGTTTTGTTCACCATTGTATTTCCAGCCCCTGGGGAGGTACTTGGAATTAATCAGTAAATAAAATAATTTAAAGAAAATAACAGTACAGCCCAAACACTAGATTTATCTTTGAAAAAGATTAGTTTAACATTTTGAAAGTTTTAATCAGATAAGAGAACCATATTGCTTTGACAAAGATTTTACATTAGCTGCTTGTGACCAACGTACTAACACGTGCCAAGTTTAATTACTTTACCTAGACTTTGTCTGAAATAACCATAAATAACTCTAGAATCTTAAATTATTTCCTTCCTTCTTTAAAGTGGAAGGGTAAACATTTTCTGCTATTGTTTTTCTTTCATCTATTCCACCAAACACTGACTAGATAAGAAAACAAACACAGCTAGCCCTCACCTGCATGTTCTATTCACTGGATGACACTGGGCTTGGGAGTACACGTCATCTGACCCTCACACAGACCTCTATGCGAGGGGAAGATGAGATCTCTTTCTCCCAAAAGAATCTCATAATTTTCAGAGTCAGAGGGATGTTAGAACTCCTCTACTCCATTCTCCTTTATTTTATTAAAAAAAAGAAAAAAGCCCAGCTCAGCTTTCCCAGAGATCACACATTGGCCTAATGAGACTGGAACCAAGATGGGGCTCTTTCTACACTAACTGATAAATTAAAGTTTTAAAATGTCCATAAATCTATGAAATTAGATCAGAGCCGCTACCTAAATCAGTCTTAGTTTAATGTGTAAATGTTTAAGTGATACTAACATGTCTAAATATGAAATCTGTTCTACAAATTTACTCCTACTATTTTGGGGGTCTAACTTATTAAGTTACTAAAAAATAATGGTCCTTAAAAATTGGTTGGC